TGATTTATGCTAAGCTACGCTAAAAGTGCCCTCGCCTGACCGGGAGATCGGCTAAATGGATAAAAAAAAAATGGTAAAACTGAGCAGTAAAACTATTGCACCTGCTGCAGACATGGTACGGCAGCAAAGATGCAAGATGCAGTATGCTAATGGTCTAATCTGATTCAATGATTTATGCTAAGTTAGGCTAAGCTAAACGTGTTGTCGCCAGTCTTAGAGATCGACTGAATGGATTAAAAAATTTGTAAAACTGAGCTGTTTAATATTGCACCTGCTGCAGATATGGTATGGCAGCAAAGATGTGCGATGCTAATGGTCTAATCTGATTCAATGATTTATGCTAAGCTATGCTAAAAGTGTTGTCGCCAAAGCCGGAAATTGGCTAAATGGATCATAAATGGTAAAACTGAGCTGTTTAATATTGCACCTGCTGCAGACATGGTACGGCAGCAAAGATGTGAAATGCTAATGGTCTAATTCAATTCAATGATTTATGCTAAGCTAAGCTAAAAGTACTCTTACCAGACTTGGTAATTGGCTGAATGGATAATTTTTTTTTAAACTGAGCTGTTTTTTATTGCACCAGCTGCAGACATGGTACGGCAGCAAAGATGCGAGATGCTAACGGTCTAATCCGATTCTATGATTTATGCTAAGCTAAGCTAAATATGCTCTCGCCAGACTCGGAGATTGGCTGAATGGATTCAAAAAGGGTAAAAACTGAGCTGTTTAATGTTGTGTCTGCTGCAGACATGGTACGGCAGCAAAGATGCAAGATGCTAATGGTCTAAACTGATTCAATGATTTATGCTAAGCTAAGCTAAAAGTACTCTCGCCAGACCCGGAAATTGGCTGTTTACCTCTTTAAAATGAGCTTATTTCCTCCCCAAAAGTGGAGTGTTCCTTTAAATTCCAGCAAACCTGCTCCACAGTAGACACGTCTGTCTATCTGCCTGCTTTGGTTTACAACACTACTTTCCAGCTAGGATTTAAACCACTTAATCAAGCACATATCCATCACATCCTACCAAAAAAATGTTCTGTTTATGTTAACAGAATGATAAATAATCCGCGACACGTTAAAATGTATTCTCTTCAATATTGCTCTATATTAAAAGTGACACATTCATTCACGAGCAGGCATACACAACAGCAGGTAAAGAACATCCGGTATATCCTCTTTAGAGTTCTTTTTTTTCTTCTTCTTTTGTTTAATATCACCTAGATTGTTTTTTTTTTAAGCCCAGAATCAATACGACACAGATCACACATAAAACCCAAATGTATTTACAGTACGTTTTCACAAAAGGAAGACGGAGTAGCAAAGGAAATATGCAGGAATAGTCAGGGAGGGCCTTACACATGTAAACGTTAATACTCTTGGGCTTTTTTTTAAAGTTTTTTTGGAAACTGATTTTTGCATTATAGTTGCAGGCCTGGTTTTTTTCCACAGAGCCACATATAATCGTTCACAGGACACACCAGTCTAGAAAGTCCTAATGGGGAAATTCCAGTCAAATCTTAGTAATTTTGAGAGCATATAGGAGTATTGTTGATAGTACGCGGTGTAGGTCGAGCTTACGGCTATTATAATGAAATAAGCAACAGCGTGACTGCAAATCAGACTCGAATTCTGTCTAGAAATATACTTGACTAGTTGTTTTACGAAGCATTTCGAAAGGAATCCTACCACTATTTGCCTAAATGGCTTTATTTCCTTCCATGCGAATTTACATTAAGGAATGTTCGTGTATGATATCTGGCTTTCAGTCCCGGGACTGAAATAACATGAGGCAAGGCAGTGAACAAGATACGATGTCACATATATAAATAAGCGAGAAAGGTTTGTGACGAGCACTGCAAAGAATTACCATGAAAACAGCGTTAATTGACTTCTCTATCTTTCTTTATATATATATATATATATATTTATATTTATATATATGTCTGAATTAGTCATTTTCAACAAAATAAAATAACAATATGCATCTCTAACTGCATCGTTTAAATACTGAACTGTATTTATTATGTACACGTCTCGAATAAATACAGAAATCTCCCCCCATTGCTCTTTTTTTAAATATTTGTTCATAAATAATTGAAGGATGTGGAAGAGTAGAAGACATGAGGTGAAATGAAGGCATTGACAAGATTGAAGATAACTGATTCTGTGTGCTAGGGCAAAGTTGGGCCCAATCACACCTCCCCATCGGGCACCCTGATGTTGTGTTGTCACGATACTGGGATATTGGGTACCAATCGGTACTGAAATTTTAATAACATCATTTATTGAACATTTGAGTGCTGTTGAGTGTGTTGAAGCATGTAAAGGTATATAAAACCCCCCTGTCTAGTTTGAAAAAAATTCAGGAAAGTGGTCGAGTCCAGCTTTGTTTAGGTGGGAGTGGTGAAAGAGGAAAGGGTTTGGATGAAAGGGGAGTTTCAGTACATGCACAACAACAACACAAGCACAGATGCAGGGGAGATGGACGGTGATTCTGATTCTGGAAGTGGAGGACTTTCAATCCATAATATTGTAGGTTTTGTTCACGAGTGAGGGAAGGATAGAACGTGAGATTGACAGACGGATTGGTGCAGCGGCAGCAGTAAAGCGATCAATGTACTGGTCTGTTGTGGTAAAGAAGGAGCTGAGCCGAAAGGGAAAGCTCTCGATTTACCGGTCAATCTACGTTCCTACTCTCACCTTTGGGTCATGATCGAAAGGACAAGATCTCGGATACAAGCGGCCGAAATGTGTTTCCTTCGAAGGGTGGCAGGGCGCACTCTTATGGATAGGGGGAGGAGCTCTGACACCTGGGAGGAGCTCGGAGTAGAGCTGCTGCTCCTCCACATCGAGAGAAGTCAGCTGAGGTGGCTCGGGTGTTTTGGATGCCTCCTGGACACCTACCTAGGGAGGCTTTCCAGGCATGTCCCACCGGAAGGAGGCCTCGGGGAAGACCTAAGACACGCTGGAGGAACTATGTCTCTCGGCTGGCCTAGGAACACCTTGGGATCCCCCCGGAGGAGCTGAAGGAAGTGTCTGGGGCGAGGGAAGTCTGGGGTTCTCTCCTAAGACTGCTGCCCCCGCGACCCGGCCCCGGAAAAGCGGCAGAAAATGAATGAATGAATGAATATTGTAGTGATATTACTGTAAACTTAGTAACTAAATAATTTTGACTAAGGTATGTCTTTAAAAACTGAAGAGTATTGCTGACGATACTAACTGTTATCTGGAGAAACATAAACAAAGTACATTGATCACACACTTATCAAATCCGTAGAGATAGGACAATCAACACCAACTGGAACCGCGTCTTTTTTTAAAAGAAGATAAGTATCAAATCCGGATTTCACCCCTTCCATGTTCCTTACAAATGTATTTTTGTCGCATGTTAGCAGACCACTGTAATCCACACATGTGGATCCACAAGTGAGCGGTGTTCTCATCACGGGGGAACAATTATAAACACTGACGACCCATGTCTCCGAACAATTCTTCTACTGCAATTCTTCTTAACACAAAGTGCCGTCTATCTGAACACTGTAAAAGGTCTTCGAAGCTACATCATGCATATTAATGAAGTTGCATCTTGTTCACAATAGAGCGCACTGATTGGTTCAAACAAAGTCGTTCTCATGAATTAATGAACAGCTGTTAAACCCAGTGACGTCATTTTACACCGGCCGGTACAGATAGCCAATCTTAACGCTGGAATTTACACGATGATCTCATGGCCGTGACTTCGCTTCAAAATTTATTTTTGAACCGGCAGAACGAATTTGGTCGGAATAACGCAAAAACAAGCAGTTTTCACTTTTAGTGAAATACATGGGTCCTAATAGTGTTTTTAGCAATGTGGCACATATATGACTGTCAACATCTCAAAAAAATGTGTTTAGGTGTTTCGTGACTCTTTAAACAGCGCTGATTTGCCATTTTGTTCACATGCTCAACAGAAATGACTGGAACTGTTCCCACTCAACAGTGATTGGACTGTGATTGGGTCAGTTCACATAACTCACCACTGTTTACTGAGTGTAAATACAGATATAGGGATTGTTTCAAAGTCACGTCGATCAGCTGGTTTGTCTATAAGCTAACATACGTGTGGTCTACTGATATATCGTGGCTCCAGTGTCCCTGTATATGTGGTTACACTCAGAAAACAACGAGTTAGGAGAACTAATGATCATCACAGCCAATCAAAGTCTTTTCCGTTGAGCACATGAACGTGTTCAGGAACGTGTTCAACAGCGCTCAAATGTTCGTGGGAAATGGATGTTTTTAAAATTTGAATATCGGTTGATACCGAATTCCAGTATCGTGACAACACCACCTTGATGTCAAAATGACATTTTAAAAAATGCATTGATGTCTATTTGATGTCAAAACCTTAACGTCAATTTGACATCCACATATTGATGCTCTTTTGACCACCTAAAAGTATTCTAATATAAGAAAACTTCTATTTATCTGAAAGCTTCGAGTACAAATTTGAAAATTACAATGGATTACGTCAATTTGACATCTAACATTGGCGTCAAAAACTCGTCAAATATTGCCAATGTTAGGTGTCAACTTGATTTCATTTGCATTGTAGGGATACAAAATCCATTGTAATTTTCGAATTTGTAATCGAAGCTTTCAGATTGGCATCAAAAATGCGTAAAAAAATGTTAAAATGGATGTCGTTTTAATTGGCAATTAACATCAAATCGATGTACATCTTTGACGTATTTTTTGACGTCATATTGACATGTAAGTGCCCATTAGGTTCCTAAATTTTAAACTTAGGCCTTAGGTTAAACCCTTGAATCATAATTTTACATCTAATCAACCTCTATGGCTTTGCTTTTTAAAATTCGATGGATTTCGTATTGAATCAAATCAAGCTTGAAATGTAAAAGCGAGCAATCATAAAGGAGGGGGAGGAGCTAGAGGGCGTGGCCAGAAGAGGCAGTAAGCAGTATTGAGGGTTGATTTATGTTTCTTGTTCTTCTTTTTAAATACCTAAACTTGTGTTTTTTCCGTGTGTGAGTGTGTGTGTATTGGTGCAAGGCAGTGCAGACAGAGCTGTGGGATTTTCAGCAGGCGCAGTCCTGGTGCGGGGCGGCGGGCTGCTCTGTGAGCTGCGGCCCTTGTTTGGCTCCCGTCACTGCAGGATCGGCAGCATCCAGGCTCTCTGACATCTTCTCGCAGATTATGTCCACCAACCGCTCGAAGGTTTGTTTAACATTAATGTTGTCCTTGGCACTGGCTTCGAAATATTCAAAACCTGAGAATCAAAGAAGAAACTAAATCAAGACCAATGCATCTTCTGAAACCCAGTCAGCTGCCATTGACAAAGCGCAAGTTAAACTGCCATTGATTTTTCAATCGCTAGTTAGCCCTGTGCAATACTGAACCCTGCAGGCACAAAACGTCAACATGACATCATATTGACGTTGTACCTCAACGTCATGGGGACGTTAGATTTTGTTGGGATGAAAATCGGGTTGACGTTGAACCCAACGTCAGGCCGACATCAATGTCCAACGCAAAATCAGCCTAAAATCAACCAAATATCAATGTCTAATCATGTTACACCTCGATGTTGTGTGGAAGTTTCCACTATGACATCTATCAGAAGTTGATTGATTCAGATTCATAACAATCATCATATCATTATAAAGAACATTTATTATAAACAACAAATCTAATTCAAAAGTACCTAATGCAAAACTTCGCTCACATTTCTCATTCAGTAGGAGTGCTTTACACAACCAAAGTTAGCTGCATTGAATATCATATGTAGCACATTTCAAACGATAACCAAATTAATTTCAGCAAACTGGCCACTCCTAGAAAGAATATTAATATTTTGACTTACCAAGATGCTCAGAGAGCTGTCTGCCCCTTTCAGAAGCCACGACCCTCTCATCCTCCATGTCACACTTGTTGCCTACTAGAAGCACCTGAGCGTTATCCCATGAGTATGTCTTAATCTGTGTGGACCTGCGGGTGATCAGTCAGACATGATTAGATGTTAAAAAGTTACAGTAATTGTAAGCTCAGGATAATTTGAAATATGTGCCTCATTCTACATTTTTACAAAATGTAAAACAAGTTGTTTAAGGTACATTTCGTTGCACATTTAGGCTGACAAATACACTAGAGGGTGCTGTCTAAATTTTTCACCTAGCGTACCACTAACTTTAACCATTCCCTAAACTCTATAGTGTTTTCAAAAGCAAACATAAGAGAAAAACGCCTTGTTACCATGTAGTTTACTCTGAATTTTTGTTTCTTTTGTTTCGCCGGACTTGAATCTGAGTGCTCTTCATCAAAAGTACAACACCGTACAAGGTGAGCTACCAAGCAAACTGACCACTCCAGAAAAGTTGTCCATATGGAGATAAATAGGTGAGGTAAGCATATCAGATTACAAATAATAGACATACTTGAGATATTTTGTGGTATTTATCTTTTTTTGTTAATAACCTGTCCCTTTAAATATCATTAGTGTGAGAAGGAACTAAAGTTTTTGCTCTTATATTACCTCACAGCATACATTTTACCTAGAAACTGCACTCAAAAGGTATTTTTATGTAAGTTGTTGTGGTTTCACAAAAATGTACAGTATGTAAAGCACATATTTCCAATGAGCCTGTGTTATTATTTTTTATGTTTAGAAAACTCACCAGTCCTGCACTGCAGCGAAAGACTCCTCATTGGTAATGTCGTACATGAGGATGAATCCCATGGCTCCACGGTAATAAGCGGTGGTGATGGTTCTGTAACGCTCCTGCCCCGCTGTGTCCTGTGAAGAAATAGTCAAAACACTCAGTGTTGGGTTAGTTACTTTAAAAAAAAAATATTGATTACAAATTACTGACTACTACTGGAAAATTGTAACTTGGTTACATTACTAATTACTTCCAAGTAAAAAGTAATCAGATTACTAATTACCTTGCTTTGAAGTTACCATTAAAGCATAAAATATGCATACAAAAATACTAAATAAACTGCAGCTTTATCAGTAATTTATTAATCACTGAAAAAAAAAAACATTACAATAGGTTGATCGCAGCAGCTTCACATGTTTAAAAGACTTAGAGAGAGTTCACTTAAAAACTTAAAATTTTCTCATCATTCACTTGTTTCAAACCTGTTTGTCTTTTTTTAACACAATAGAAGACATTTAGAAGAACACTGGATACCAGTAACCGTTAACATCCATAGTATCAAAAAACAGCAGTGTTTGAGGTGTTCTGTGTTTGTCTGAAGTAATTATTCATTCATTTATTCATTTTCTTAATGGCTTTGTACCTTTATTAATCTGGGGTTGCCACAGCGGAATGAACCACCAACTTATCCAGCACGATTTTATGCAGCCGATACCCTTCCAGTCGCAACCCATATCTGGGAAAAATTCACACACACTCATTCTTACTCATACACTACGGACAATTTAGCCTACTCAATTCCCCTGTACCGCATGTCTTTTGACTGTGGGGGATACCGGAGCACCCGGAGGAAACCCACACGAATGCAGGGAGAACATGCAAACTCCACGAGGCTCGCCAACTGACCGAGGCTCGGACTAGTGACCTTCTTGCTGTGATGCAACAGCACTACCTACTGCGCCACTGCGTCGCCCCCTGAAGTAATTAGTCTACCCAAATGTGTATATTCCAAATAAAGTATGAATCTGGTTGGTCAGTTCGTGTCACAAAACTCACATTTTTTTAACTGAGGGCACCTAGAAAATGCAAGTGCGTGCAATATGCACTCCCAATATGCGTGCGCAAGCCGTACACCTCCATCAGAAATAACAAACTAGCGCAGGCAAAAGATAAGGCCCCATTAGCAGCTACGCTGCCTTCACATTCACTCTTCCCATTCACTCTTACTGCCTTTACTCCCGATCTTGCACAAAAAAATCCAATTAGGCCTGCTTAGGCTGAGTTAGACCATTGTGTTTTTGGAGTCTGGTGTCCTCCTTGGCAACAAGTTGTCATAAAATGCTTAAACAAGTTGCTGGTTATGAGAGACTGGTCGAAAGATCTTTAGAGGCTGGACTGACTGCATTTCACAGCAATATTTTTGTTTTCACGCTCAATGAAATCGAAGTAATGTCTGCATTTCCACTTGAAGAAGCAACCACTCTTAAGGAACCATTTCAGCTCACGTTCTGCTTATTAAAGGTGCAGTAGGTGATTGTTTTCACAAACATTTTTGTTGCTGGTTTAAAGTCAATAGGAATGATTAAAGTAAATGATCGAAATGTATTTATATGTATTTTTATATTCTCGGTAAGGCATAAAACTAAAAAATGTTCGTCCAATTAAATATTGTCAGACCAACATGTACTGTTATAATGCAGTAATTTTACACCTATCACTGGTAACACTAAGATAAACCAAAGCACTTTTTTTATCTGTTTTTGTCTTGTTTCTACAAATATCAAAAAGTAAACTAAAAACTACATACTTAAATCAAAAAGCATTTACTATACAAATAAAAAAGATTGTATTGTTTTCAGAAATATTATGTCAAAATTAAGTCAGTTTTTCCTTAAAACAAGATAAATAATCTGCTAATGGACTAAGCAAAAATCATATTATTTCAAATTATTTTGGTTGTTTTAAGAAAAATCTCACCTAATTTGGACAATATTTTGCTTGTCTTAAAAAAAATGACTCTTGGTTTTAGAATTTTTGGATATTTGGACTTGAAACAAGACAAATACTTGTAAGTAAGAAAAGCATTTTTGTCACCCCCTTTACTGACCCCTGCACTCTTTTATCATAACCAGGAAAACAGGATTTAGTCATGGTTTCGGTATTCCGGTTTCGTAGCTCCTCCTACCAAGAAATGTGAGAGTGAGTACAACAATAAGCATCCACCATTATAAGCAGCTGATCTCTGCATCACTGCACCAGAGAAATGAAGCCAGTTAATTATGAACACACTCAGTTCAGTCATTAAATGTTGGGCTAACTGTATGCGCAAAGCCAAGTGAAAGCTGGTCTAGTGACTGACTACATACAGTGCATTCGGAAAGTATTCATAGCGCTTCACTTTTTCCACATTTGTTTCTCTTACAGACTTATTCCAAAATGGATTAAATTCATTTATTTCCTCAACATTCTACACACAATACCCCATAATGACAATGTCAAAAAAAGACTTGAAAGATTTTTGAGATTGTTGCAAATTTATTAAAACAAAAAACCTGAAAAATCACATGTACATCAGTATTCACAGACTTTGCCGTGAAGCTCTAAATTGAGTTCAGGTAAATTCTGTTTCCACTGATCATTCGTGAGCTGTTTCAGCAGCTTAATTGGAGTTCATCTGTGGTAAATCCAGTTGATTAGACATGATTTAAAAAGGCATACACCTGTCTATATAAGGTCCCAGGGTTGACACTGCATGTCAAAGCACAAACCAAGCATGAAGACAAAGGAATCGTCTGTAGACCTCCAAGACAGGATTGTCTCGAGGCACAAGGCTGGGGAAGGTTACAGAACAATTTCTGCTGCTCTGAAAGTTCCAATGAGCACAGCGGCCTTCATTATCTGTAAGTGGAAGATGTTTGGAACCACCAGGACTCTTCCAAGAGCTGGCCGGCTATCTAAGCTGAGTGATCGGGGAGAAGGGCCTTCATCAGATAGGTGATCAATAACCCGATGGTCACAGTCTAAACTCCAGTGTTCATCTGTAGAGGAGAAACTTACAGAAGGAATAACCATCTGTTCAGCAATCCACCAATCAGGCCTGTATAGTAGAGTGGCCAGAGGGAAGACACCAACCGCCTGGAATTTACCAAAAGGCATCTGAAGGACTCTCAGACCATACAAAACTAAATTCTCTGGTCTGATAAGACTAAAATGTAACTTTTTGGAGTAAATGCCAGGTGTTACGTTTGGAGAAAACCAGGCACTGCTCATCACCAGGCTACCATCCCTACAGTGAAGCATTGTGGTGGCAGCATCATGCTGTGGGGATATTTTTCAGAAACTGGAAGACTAGTCAGGATAGAGGGAAAGATGAATGCAGCAATGTACAGAGACATCCTGAATGAAAACCTGCTTCAGAGTGCTCTTGACCTCAGACTGGGGTGAAGGTTCATCTTCCAGCAGGACAATGACCCAAAGCACACCGCTAAAATATCAATGGAGAGGCTTCACAACAACTCGGTGAATGTCCTTAAGTGGCCCAGCCAAAGCCCAGACCTAAATCCTATTGAACATCTTTGGAGAGATCTGAAAATGTCTGTCACTGTCGCTTCCCATCCAACCTGATAAAGCTTGAGAGGTACTGCAAAGAGGAATGGGCAAGACAGGTGTGCCAAGCTTGTGGCATCATATTCAAAAAGACATGAGGCTGTAACCGCTGCCAAAGGTGCATCAACAAAGTATTGAGCAAAGGCTGTGAATACTGACGTACATGTGTTTTTTCAGATTTTTTATTTTGAATAAATTTGCAACAATTTCAAAAACTCTTTTTTTTCACATTGTCATTATGGGGTATTGTGTGTTGAATGTTGAAGAAATCAATGAGTTTAATCCATTTTGGAATAAGGCTGAAACATTAAAAAAAATGTGGAGCATTATGAATACTTTCCAGATGCGCTGTAATTGCTTCTTGTTTTCTTTTCTATTCAAATTTTAAAGAGCCCATATTATGGGTTTTTGAAAATTCCCCTCCATGTAGTGTGTAACACAGCTCTAAGTGAAGTGAAGTATCCAGCTAAGGCTTAAATCTGTAAGAATACAGTGTTTAAAACTGTTGATTCATCTATAAAAGAGTCGATTCATAGTGCTTCAAACGAGTCGCCTTGATACCGACTCATTAGGTGTTTCGCCATGACATACGAACGAAACAAAGTTTTTCACGTGCACGCGCAAACCCGGGAGATTTCAAACCTGAGGCCCCGCCCTCTGACGCAGTAACCCAGACACACACACACACACACACACCCACAAACACACGCACACAAACATGCCGGTCGATTGAAGTCACATTGCAGATGGATATATTGAGTCTCTACCCAAAGATGAAACCTCAGCATTATAGCCAAGCAGTTGGAAACTACTGGAAACTTCTGGAAGCTACATGCTACAAAGAATACTTCATCTGCGTTTGTTAAAGGAAGGATCAGTAACTTACTGATGGACATCAGGATGGGTTTCTTCCATTTCTCAAGTGTAAGTACGTGCGGTTAAAGTTGTTGCCTCGTTGACTCTAGCTTGCAAATGTATTTAGTTGTGATTTGTTACTTGTAACCGAGTGTACTGTATCAGGTTAACTGGCTATATTCTCTTATCGCGTGCAAAGTCACGTTAAAAACGCGACGCGTGCTGCTTTGTTTATGGAGCTCCGTGGTAACGTTAGAGGTGTGCATACCCGCGGCTGTCCCCGCGCCAGATTTCTGCGGCGCGGGAATAAATTTCCGAATAAATCGCCGGAGCGGTCGGTAACGGGTTTGATTTGGGACGGGAGCGGGCTGCCTGAGAAAGAGAAAGATGTGTCTGCTTGGTGCTTGTGTGTTAGTGCGCACGCGCGCGTATGAGAGAGAGAGAGAGCGAGCGAGTGAGCGAGCGAGCGAGCGAGAGCTTTATGCTTGGTGCTGTGTGTGTGTTTATACAGATTTTCGGTTTTGTTCTCCCCCGCTCTTTAGCGGGATCGGGCGCGGCGGGCAGAATACGGGGCGGGTTCTAAGGCTAAAACCTGGCGGGTGCGGGCGGAAGCGGGAGCGTTCTCGTCCGGAGGTGTGTGTGTGTGTTTGTGTGTGTGTGGCAGCTAAAATCC